TAGACTAACCCCAGGCCACTTCACCTGGAAAAGACACGGCATGAATGCTGCAGGCCCTGCCTAAGTTCCTCCTCGCTTGCTTTGCCCTTCGAGACTCGACTTCCATGTGCAAAAACCGGAGCAGGCTGTTCTTCTTCACCAGAATGAAGCGTGTGGCCAGCGAGCTCTTGTTTATTCGTGCAGCATCCAAGTCCCCTTCCTCAGAGAGCTGCTGGCCAACCTCTTCCCAGAAATCACCCCGTGAGCAGACACACACAACTGGTGGCCTTTTCAGCCAGCCACTCCCCAGACATTCCTTCCCCTTCCCCTGCCAGACCAGCCTGCCCCGTCTTGGTTCGGAAGCATCACAGACCTGTGAGCATTTCACATCATTTACATTCAATTTTCTTCAGAATCCAGCTATCTTGGCCTGCCTGTATCTCTTGTGCAGAACACTGGCCTCCAACTCCAGTCCTGTTCCCCCGCAGCCTCAAAACAACCGCGGGCATGTGTTCAAAGATTATAGGCAAAGCTGGTAGCACAGGCTGGGTTTCAGAATACCAGACCCATCCTGTCACAAGCACGTGCTTTTAGGCCGAGCTTGCCAAACTTGAACCACTGGAGTGAAATTTTTGGTAAGTTCCAGCTGATACAGCTCAGTCATTCCAAGAAAAAGATTCGAGAACATATTTTTCGCTTGTAACCACTCTGAGAGGCTGTAGCACCCCTGTGCTTCAGGGGAGGGATCTACAATCAGGAAGGGAACATCACCCCTCAAACTGGGATTGCTTATTTGCTCTTCCCACCAAATCTACCCAAACTTAAGTGAATCTCTGAAGGTGCTTATATAGCACAAGTACATGTCAAAGCTAACTTACGACTACCAAGAAACCATCGTTTGGCTGCTTTTTAGTTTTTAAGAGCTCGATTTCGTAACACCAGCAGTTTAAGCACAGTGTCCTTAAACTGAATTCCACAGTAACCGCACTGAGGACACTAAGGTGAAGATCTACAATGGAACAGCTGAGCCAAGACCCAATTTGTTTCCACTAGTGACACACCACAACAATCACCTGACAGGACCGGAAAAAGAAAACCACCTCCGTCCGCTTTCCCTTTTAAGCATGGTGCTTAAAAGTGCAGGCAGGAGAGCAGATCCTCACACTGAAGACCTCGAAGCCGAGCCTGCGGATGTCAGAGCTGTCGGAGTACCAGGAGAGAGGGGCCCAGCTCACCAGAGTCTGCGTTCAGACGTGCCCCCTGCTCCGATGTGCTGAGCCCGTCCGAATAGTCCTGCACGGAGCTTTCCTTTGTCTCTCGGCCTGCCTGCCCTTCAGGAGCTTTGCTGGAGATTGCCTCCAGCAGCTTCTCCTGCTTCTGGATGAAGGACTCCATAGCAGCCAGTGACAGGGTGCCAGGGACCTACAAAAAACACCTGAGTATTAGTGGTTGAACAGATATACGTAGGTATTTATCACCCGGGCAGCTTCCTACCACCTGGTTTACACCTTGTTGTAGCCAGTAGCACAAGTGAGGCTGCGTAATGCTTTTCTGGAAACACCTGGCATGTGGGAATAAGGCTGCAGCAGCCACAACTTCAGTGCACATGGATTGGTCCAAGCCAGCACCCAAACAGGGCAATGGTTACGTTCATGAAAAAATAGAAAGAGAGACGAACTTACAGCACTGCCCTCCCTGATAGAGTACACAATCTTGTCGTGGGCTTCGCTCACGCTCAGCACCGGAGTGATTTTACTGGATGAGAACCTTAGCCTGGACCTGGAAAAGGAAAGACACACCACAGTCAGCGTTTTCTCCACATGCTGTAAGCAACGAGTTTCCCAGCCTCGGCCAAGAACCTGGACCAACCATCTTTGTCGAGTGTCACATCCAAGCTAAGAAGCCTGATTAGACCTCTGAAGTGGTTCAAAAAAATGTCTGTCTCCAGGATAACTAAGAGGTGGCAGCAAAACCACGCAACAAAAGCATTAAAGTGCTTTTCCTTGACTACACAGGGGCCTAGCCAAGGCTTCCTAACACCCACCACACAGATACACCTTGTCCAGCAGGTGTGGCACATCTAAGCCGACGTGCAGGCGGAGGCATATCTGCTCAGGAAGGTATAAGCATCACAACATACACAGCAAAGCGCTCAAAAAAGCCTCTGAGACGAAATATACTCAACAGGACTGTGAAATCCAATTATGAACACGCACAGGCAGAAAGGAGGATATAAAAAGGGGCTCAGGGTTGTGAGACAAATGGTAAAATAACCTGCTAATCTTTAAGGAATGCCAAGATGCTCTAAAACTTGTACTTTTTTGGATTGTCTTTTTGTCTGAAGCAGTTTTTTTTCTAGCTTTTTCTGAGAGAAAAATAAAAAGGCCATACTTGTTCAGAAGCCTTCTCCCTCCTTCTCTCAGAGAAGACTTGCTCACGAGCGCAACAGGACTCCTCACTGCCGGCACCACCATATAAACACTTTGTGAGCAACATTCATGCAATGACCTTAAACACTACTCCTAAATAAATATTCAAATGTTTACTGGGCAAGGCAGCCCAGCACTGTGTGAAACACAAGGAGAAGGCAGGAGTGAACCTTCAGGTAGACAATTTAGAGCTGTACTTTGTGTATAGGTCACACACATGTTTAAGGTAAAAAAAGCTCCAGAAGCATCAACATCTTTATCAGCAAATGCCACAACCTCACAGCTCCCTCAGGAAAAAAGCCACCTACTGGGAAAGCCTGAGCATTCCTAGAAAATCCTTTATTCAAACAGGAACTCGAACAGCCTCGCTCAGCATGTCAAAGAGAAAATAATTAGCCTGAGTATGAACAGCAAAGTACTACCCACAACAGGTAAAGCAGCAAGTCAGTACCTCCCCACAATGGATTTGGTTTTTGTAGGAAGTCCCAGTTCTGCACAAAGCAGAGGGGAAGCTGAAGGAGCCCTTACTTGTTGGCCTTCTTCCCATCTGTCTGAGATTTCCCATCCACTTCAGACTCGCTGAGATCCTCCGTGGGACTCTGTGGCTCTGACCTGGGGAACGCCGTCTTCAAGGTGTCCACGATGGCATTGACAACAATCTGCAAAAGCCAGCGGTGCCATCAGTTCCTGACCATACCCCTACTCCTCGAACAGGAATTAAGTTCTCAGACTTGTGCTCTATTTCCCACAATAACCCTCAGGCTCTTTGAAATGAGCTCCGAATCTTCCTTGCTTTCTGGGCAAGCTGAGCCCAGCTACACAAGTTTTTTGTAGACACTGAAGCCCCAGAGGCACATCAAGGTGCACTTGCAAGTGGATCAGAAAACCTGTTTCCCACTCGTCTACCTTGTCTATCCTGGAGACAACGAAAGGCTTCTTGACGAACGCGATCCTTGCATCAGTGTTCAGGGCAAGAAACTCCTGCACTTCCTCACTGTTTGCAATCTCAGGCACCGCACACAGTTGCTGCAAGGGAAGACTCAGCTTTAGGTCTTTTTTTTGAGTCAACATCCTGGCTTGGTGGTGTAAAGAGCAGGTGGAACAGATCTGATGTGCTCCACTGACCGCACAGAGCTGTCCCAAGCACTGCCTTCTAGCTCACAGGGGTACACAAGCAAGGATCTCACCTTCAAGAAAGATTCTAGCAGACTTTTTCTGGCTTCCACTTTATCGCTGTCCATGTTTCCAAACGGGAGATCAGGGAAGAGTTTCTTTGGGCCTTTGATATCTACAAACCAAACAAACCCATTAGGAAGCTCAACTTAACGGCAACGGTTTTACTAAAATCTTGATGTTCTGGTGTCAGCTTGAGATAACACACCTCAAACCAGGCAGGCTGAAATCCAGACAGAATTTGTGTTCTACTGGTATCATATCATCAGTGCTTTTAACACTGAAGAGAACACCAGTTTAACACAAGGACTCACCCGAAGAGCCCAAAAATTCTCAACAAAGCAGTTCTACACCCAAAACCCTAGCTCTGTCAAAACCACTTCTGTGCAGTTTTATACATAAGCAGCATTAGAAAATAAATTGAGGCGGATTTTTTGAAGAGGTGACACATACAACACCTAACTTTTTGTACATAAACAAGACACTTGCAGATTCCAGTATTTCTATTCATCACTACGGTGTAAAAATACATGAGCAAACATTGTCATCTAAATATCAACAAGCATGTTTTGGAACACTGGAATACTCTGCCAAAATAAAGCTTTTCTCTGGCCATCTCTGCGCAGATCAAGGACAAGGGCATCACCCGCAGCCCAAAATCCAGAGCCACGGAGGCAGGGCACGATGCCACCAGAGCAGAGGAGCAGTACGGTGAGAGGGAGAAGGAATTTCCCAGGAAGCTAACGGAGACACTCACTTTTCAGGAACTTGCGAAGCTCCGGTTTCTCCTCCAGCCTGGTCTGGAGGTTGAGGAACTCCCGGTAACGGCGGTTCACGGTGTGGTAAGCCATTTGCTGGAGGCTGCCCGCATTCTCACCCTCCAAGGCTGTCTCATACTGAGGAGGAAGGCAACAGTCAAAGATCCTTGCAGACACCAAAACAATCCTGAGGGTGCTGGGGTGTCTGTTGGCCCCACAGTCCCCAGATCCCACAGGGTTCCATCCAGCAATTCCTCAGATTGACCCTTCCCCAAAGAACATCGGCTGCAGAGCACACAAACCCCTCACAATGAAGGGAATGGTGAAAGCGAACACACCAAACACTCAACCAGCCCCACACGACCTCTGGCCATGAGTGGAAGCCCCTACCCCGCACCCAAACAGCAAAAGGAGAAGCCAGTGTGCCTGACGTTCCCCACTGACACATCAGACGTGTTGTTGGGCCACACATAGAGCAAGTGCTCATCCCCACACAGCAGCCCGTGCTCCCCTGCCAGGGCAAGGGGCCTCAGAAAAGGGGTGACCACCAAGGAAACATTTACCTTAACAGTGTACAGGGTGTAGGGGTGGAAGCCAGTCCCGCTGTGCTCTCGTGCAGTGATGGTCCCAGTTATCCTCAAGTTCTGGATGACGACCGGCCCGTCAGGGCTGCTGAGGGGCTCAAAGTGGAAGGAGCTGACCAAAGCTGTTGGGGAGGAGGAGAGCAGGGGCAGAGCCTGCCCAGGGTCCGGTGAGCTCTGTGGTAACCCCTCTCCTGTCCCCAGCTCTTTCCCCAAGCTGGAGGGCCTCTGTGAGGAGGACTTCCTTGGGACAGCTGAGCTCTCCTCTTCCCTCTCAGCTGCTGGGTCGATCTGGATGTCAGGGCAGGAGCTCAGGGCAATAGCTGAGGTGGGAAGGAGGCCAGCATCCAAGGGGGTGGCAGTACCCTCCTCCAGGTCCCCCATGCCATCTTCCAAAGCGGCTGGTCCCTCTAGCACAGCAGAAGTGTCCTGGAGAGATTCATCAAGGAACTCCCCCGTGGGTGATGGGGCCAGTAGGTCCACGTCCTGGCCCGCATCGGGCACAGGGGACTCCAGCTCCAAATCCTCACAGGGGAAGAGGGAGCCCAGGGCTCGTGGGCGGAGGAAAGACTCTTCTGGGTGGCACAGCCTGCTCGCCACATCCTCTCCCTCCTCGCCAGCAGCCCCTGCCTCTCTTCTGGGCAGCTCTGAAGCTCTTGGGGAGGGAGGTAGCCCAGCAGGGGTAGAGTCTGTCTGCACCTTCACAGGTAAACAATCAGGCACCAGGGGTGCAGGGGGTAGCTTCTCACCCCTGGGCTTCTTGGAGAAAGCCCCAATGAGCAGTAAGTTGATCCAGTCAGGATCAGCCATCTTCCTGACGGCCGGCAGCAGCACATTGCAGGCAACCAGCTCCACCACCACGAAGCGTCCTGTCCGTGTCTCCAGGTGCGGCCGAGGCACCAGCGCCCGCAGCAGCATCTCCACAGCAGCCCTGGTGTACGCTACCTCAGCTGCTGGGCTGC